CCTGCTTTTGGTGTAGAAACAATTCAAATTCCATATGACCTTTGTAATGGGGAAAGAGACACATACCAATCCAGATACTACAGTATTTTGCAAGTAATTGACAAGCTGGCAATCCCCCCCCCCCCCACTTAGCAAAGAAAAATTCAATGGCTCTTAAAATAACCATTCCTTAACATCAGAGTTTGTGGTATCCACTTGTGGACATTGTCATAAAGTGGAAAGCAGTGCCTCAACTAAACTTGGCACAACAGCCACTGAATATACTTCAAACTTAGATTTCTGTGTATTGAATGAAAAAAAATAAAAAATAAAAAATAAAAAAACACCAGAAAATTATATACCTTGCAGGCAATAATCTATTAAATTACATAACAACTCTTGATTAGTTCACTGGCTCTTAGAAACAGAACAACCTTTCATGCACTGCCAACTGACTAACTTGGGGGTGAAGAAGAACAGTTTTCCACAGTTAGGGTTTTATTTTGTGGCCCTGAGAAGAACCATTGAGCTGACAGTGGATAGACTAACTATTCAATAAGTTTGTGTGTGTGTGTGTAGAGTGAAGAGTAATCCAGCCTTCACCTGACAAGCAGCATGGTTAACCTTTTTGCTTACAACTTGCAGGAATGGATAAGGGGCATGGGAAAACTCACAATAAAATAAAATAAAATAAATACACACACACACACACATATACATATATATATATATATATATATATATTCACACACACACAGCCCCCTCACTGGATTTGTTCCAATCAAAAAAAGCATTAAATTTTAAGTTAGTTTAATATTACACTTTGAAGGGTTTGTATCAGAACCTGATGCATAATTGAATATTGACATTAGAACATGCGAACTTCACTGCAGGCTAAGCCCATGTTCATAAATAGACCTTGTGGGAAGTGAGAGCACATGTTCACAGCTGGGCCAAGTGTATCCAGTTAGTTCCATGCAACACAAGCCTGGTTCCCCTTGATAACTGGCTCCTGGTTTCCTTCACGTCATTCCAAGTCACAAGTTATATTCATTTGGCAGCAAGCCCATACTGCAGTGGGAAAGTTCATATGTATATTTATACATTTATACGCTATTGTATGTATATGGTTCCAGACAATTTACATGTTCCAAGAAGAATTAGATGGAATAGTTGCATATTTTTTCTAATGTTATAATATTTGACTGTAAATTTAGAGTATATAGACTACTTTTTTGCAAATCACTTCATCAGTGTAGAACAAACATTGAATAGAGTCAAGATCAATCAGAGTGTTAATAAATAAATAAATAAATAATTTTCTGGGTTATATATAAAAAAGCACTTCAGTAAATTCTTTCAAATGAAAGAATTCACTTTGTCTTATATTTACAGTGGCTAAAGTGTGTCTCTTTTCCCAGGTTTTGTTCAAGCTTTTACACAATTACTGCCTAAATTAAGAGCCATAGAGTTTTGACCCATTTCTCTCAATGCCCCATCAATTATTGGCAACATCAAAGGTGAAACCAAAGCCTTCCAATATATATATATATATATATATATATATATATATATAATAAAAAAGACATAAATAATAAAAGAACTCAAAACAATGTATGGCCTTGATAAATGTTTGCAAATCATATGCAGTGACTTGTAGCTCTGAGAGAGCAAATCCCATGACTCTCACCTGGCTTACTAAAAGAAAAGGTGAAAGCCAGAAATTGGGGAGGTTTAGGGTAGCAATGTAAGAAAAGGAAGGCAGCCCAACACACCCATAACTCTCTCTTATCTCCCCATCTCCTTGTGTGTACAAGTCTCCAAGCATTGAAATAATCACATGCTCACTGGTGTTGTGAGATGGTCAAACAAGCAAAGGAGGGGAAGTCCCCCCCCCCTAAATTAATGCTGAGCTCCTCCACTCCCCCTGTTTGTCTTACTCCGCAGGCCCTGAATTTGGACCCCTCTGGAATATTCAGGTTACGGATGAATATGTTCCGACGGATGAAGTCCCATCCAATCGGAATTGAACCCAAAACTGGGGGGTGATTAGTAACCCACGAATGGGAGGCACCCAGGATCTTCTGATGATCCCCACGTTCCCGAAGTTCCCCCATCGGGAGTCCTAGTTGGCAAAATCGTTATTTTCCCACGTGACACCAATTTTTTTCCCATCCCAGAATATAAGCTCCCCATTATGTGCCACGCGGCAGGCTCCTCCACGAAGGGAGCCAATCCGCGGTGCCAACCCACATGTTTGGTTTCACACGAGGGCTCCTGGTCCTGGCTTTTCTTGTTTGGGTCTCGCCCCGCCTGATTTGGGACCTCACTCTGCCCCCTTCTCCAACCACACCTTTTTCCTTTTCCATTTCTCTCTCTCTTTTTTCTTTTTTCGTTTTCAGTGTTTCCTTATGGAAAATAGTCAGAGGCTGGCAGGTTAGCACCGTGAAGGACTATGTTAATAAATCAACTAAAAGATATTTCATAAACAAACTTGGATCCCAACACATGGAATTGTGTGCATTGTGAATAATAAATATGAGGAGCCAGAACAAGCACATGCACTTGTTGCTATAGCCTCCCACCCCAGAAAAAAGGACAGTTGACCTTGAACTGGATAAATGAATATATAATACAATGGATGGATGTATAGTTTGAATAGAGTAGACCAGACTGTAACCACCCTCAAGCACTCAAGACACACCATGTACCAATGGCCATGGACATATAAGACTTGGAAGTGGTTAGGGTTTCCACACATTCATCCAAGTATTTGGATGATGACCCTCATTTGATGAGATTGTAACAAGATAAACAACAAAGGGAATTTTATGAGAATCCATCTCCTTGTGTGCAAAAGTTGGGGATATGTTGACTAAGATACCATGAATTATTTAAACATGAGTTTTTGGTTGAATTTTTCTTTTTCGTTTTTTTTAAAGGATTCATTTATAGTTTATGTTATTTGAACTAGACATGGATAAATTTACATGTAGAATGGTTGTACAAAAGTAAATTGTGTGCATAATATGGATGCACAGTCTTTGGTATGCTAAAATTTAATGGGTATGAAGGTAGATGATTATTTATAATGTAAAAGTTGCAGTTGACATGATTAGAGGGTAATTTTGACAATCCTATTATTTTTTTCCTTCTATTTGTTGGTTTATTCTGATACTTTAGTATTGGCATCATTTTGTTAGGCATAAGTTGCTTCAAATATCACATGAAAAAAATCAAAACATTGACCTCTAAAACTTTTTTCAGTGCCAACATGCTTAGAATGATTTTATTCTACACATGGAATTGAAATATTTGTACAGATAAAGGTTAGCATTGAAAGATATTAAAGGGTATTTTGAGCCACCAAATTTATTTACGTTGAAATACAAACTATATTAATACCATAGTAGGACTTTTTCCTATGTAACAAATGTTATAGTATTTATGTTACAAAAAACAAGTATTTTTTTTTTCATTAAAAAAATCAAAGTATTGTTAAGAACACTGTATATTTTGAATTCATAGTGGCATTTTTTGACCTATTAGAATGCAAATGTGGTAGAATGATAAAAAAAAAAAAAAAAAAATCTAAAAAAAAGAAATCAAAATGTATGCCTTGCATGTGTGTGTGTGTGTGTGTGTGTGTGTGTGTGTTTATTTTTATTTTTATTTTCTTAAAATAAAATCTGCAGATGTGAAAGCACCATGTGTGATAAAAAGACAACCACACTCAAAACCATTTAAACTTCAATTTTGTTTTTCTTTCTTTCGTTCTTTTTCTATATACTCCCTGAAACTGTAACATTTTAACAAGAAATTACTTTACGTTGGAGGAGTAGAGTTTTAATCAAGTGGGTTGCAGCACAAAAATGGAATCTTGGACTCTGTCCAATCTGTCACCAAGTATATATTGAAAGTACTTATTATTCTGTTCTTGAAATTACTCAAATAAATCCCACGATGCATGATATGCAGGACAAAATTTCTTTGAGGTATGTGTAAAATCATTCTAAAAGTAAATCAATAGCTTAGTTGTATAGGTTATATATATATATATATATATATATACACACATGTTACTCAACAGTGTCGATCTTGTGGATACAAATACTAGCAAACGTCTTTCTTATATGCTTCTACTATCTTGCTGAACAGATATTGAATAATAATATTTATAGATATTTCAAATATTCAAATTGATTCTGATATTTACTACTTTATATTTCTTTTTGATATAGAATTTATTATATCAAACGTTTTGATTCTTTACATGTCAAATACTATCAAAATTTAAATTCACATTGCAAGAATATAATTTACCAGAAACTAACATTTGTTTTGTGTTATACTCACTATTTAAGTTCAAAAAAAATATATACAACTCAAACAGTGATTTTGAAAATTTTAGTGCGATAGACTTATTTTTCATCAAGATTACAGTTTTTTCTAATAAATACTACAGTATATGAAACCAGAAAGAAAGGAAGAGAGAAGAATATTCCACAAGTTGCTTTGAGATAAATTCTATCTTATGTATTGTTGCAATTCAATGTGTGTTGCAAATCTTTGTTGGTGATTCATTAAAACTGATAATGTGAAACACTATCAGTTAACGTGTAACTCGTAACCCAACTGAATGTCAAATTTAAATTACGAACGATGGTTCAATCTAAACTCAGTACTCATGGAGCTCGTTTTCTTTGTTTTTATTACTGTGCAGGAATTAAAATATAGAGGCCAGAAGAAAGCATGGAACCACGTCCCCAGCAATGGAAACAGCGCGTGGAACCGAGCAACAAACCCAGCGATCGCCCCTCCGAACCACGCCCACCGGTCCCCGAAGGAAGGCCACGCCGGGTGGGGGGGGGGGGACGCATTAGCACTGAACCAACCTATCAGGGTCTGGGTGGGTCGGGTCGGGTCCATCCAGCCCTCGGTTTTATTTATTTATTTATTTATCCTCCCCCCCCCCCCCCCCCCTGCCCAGACCCATTGAAAAGGCGGGCGAGAGAGAAGCAAGCACACAGAGCTGTTCTTGAGAGAGTTAAAGTGGAGGGCTCCACGACTTAAGCTCCATAACTCTACAAAGCAGGTCATATCTTGGACTCATTGACGCATCTGATCATTGCCACTGCGCTGCGGTGGTGTTGGAGCTCTCAATTTGGAGCCTCACCACGATTTTTGGTCTGTATTGCGCCCGTAAGGTCTGTAGTCTGGCGACCAGAAGACGTGAACCTTGAGGACATCAGAGTTTGGAGCGATTATTAGTGTTGTTTCGAGGTTTGCTTTGGTGGCTTTGGGGCTCAAAAGTGCTTCGTGGTTGAAGCGTGCAGGGCGGTTTCTGTAGCGCGTGGCTTGGTTGGTTTTTTGAAGTGAGAATTTGGAGTCGTAGAGCGGGAGTGGGGCTGGAATTGCTTTTTGCGTATTTAGCTGTGGAGTGAAGAATGGAGTGAAGTGTTGTGATGTTTTTAGTGTTCTTTTGGAGAATGCGGTAGTGTCTTGTCGCCCGAGGATATTGTTTCCCATTGGAAACTGGACATGGAATAGCTTTTACGTGGCATGTGGTTTATGTGATCTTGAGATTGATGTTCAGCGTCTCCGTGGCATTGATTTTCTAAAGAGCATCGCGATCATTTGCAGGAGTTGAGGTCTTGCCGAAATCTACGATTCGCAGGAGAGCAAATAGTTTAGTTACGTTTTTAATCTCGGAGAAATTGCTAGAAGGTTTCGGAGGTGGTCTAATTCGGTATGGTGTCCACATTCCCTGGCATCGTTGATTGAAGGCGTCGTTACTGTTCTTGAGATTCTGGAGGGGAGACTTCTGTGTCTTTCTGAAGCGAGTGTCGCAGTCTCCTCCGATTCTACTCCGGGCTTACGAAGTGTGAAGTGTGTACTCTGCTGTGGAAAGTAAGAAGCCTGGAGTATTAATTGCTTCTGCGCACTGGTCAGAGCGCCATAAGCAATGGCGAGGGCGAAAAAGCTTATCAATGATCCCAATGGTAAGAAGAAAAAGGACCTCTACTTCCTGCCGATTCGAACTGCCTTACTTGCATGATTGATACAGAACATAGCTGTGAATGGACATTTTTGAAGTGCGAGTTCTTTTAATCGGTCGTAACCACGAGGGTTGGTGCAATTGGATTGCGTGTAGGGTGTCTATTCTTGTCGTTTGGTCTCCCTTCTTCACCTGACCCATTTCTTCGCCTTTTCTCCTCTTCTGGTTTGTGTCTTTCTCTCATCGGGTTGCAGTATTGAGTCTCGTATCACCGGAGCGGTGTCTTTTGCAACCTACTAATCCCATCCTTTGCAACCCCACCGGATCCTTGTAAGCTTTTCTCTTTATCATGGTACTGTGATCGCGACTCCTTACGGACTTCCTAAGAAGGTTGTTGCATTCCAAAACCTAAACACAACTTGATCATGAAGCATCCTTCGTAAGTATGGACTCGAAAATCTGACCCTGGTTAGACTATGTACAGTATGTTCCCCTATGCAGGATGAGAAATTCGTCTTTCTAAATTGCCTCTTGAAAGTACTCCCTCGATGATCTGTGGTTTCCTCTTTGAATTGTTAGTGTGTGTCCTTATTCCTTTGATGTATTTTCTAACGAATAGCGTATTCCGTGTAATTTGACGTTAATGTAGGCCTGTGCATCTCCCGTGTGCATTTATTGGGGGGCCTAAGAAAGGGAACAGGAAAATGGCTGTCTAGGAAACGAGCTTCTTAGGATCTAATTGAAAGCTACAGTTAAACAAATATGAAAATAGATGTATCTCGCTCTCCTACTATTAGACTACTCGAGTATTGCACTCTCCTGGCGATGCTGCGATTTATTCATTCGATTTCGCTCAAATATGTCTGTTATGCTGGTTCCTTCTCTCAACTCTCTTCCTGTGTGATATTCTTTGGTGGCTTATGTTTGCATTGCCATCAGAGACCAGGATCGCGCTCTGTTATTTGGAAAACGCAGAGCAATGATGATCGTGGTTTTACTGAAGGTGCCGAATAACATATTGTTATCTAGCAGCTCTGATTACCTTGACAAGTCTCCTTGTGCAGTCAGTTCAACGCTTATTTTCATCGTTACAAACTGAGATGTTTTTTTGGTTTTGGCCCGTGCAGACGTCGTCAAAGAGTTGATTGAGGGAATGGTGGAGACATATCCTCACCTTACATATCTTGATGGCATACCTGAGGTGAAGGCTATTATGTTGATAATGCTTTCTGTAGTTATAATTTTTCCTATCTCTACCTCCTAATAGATGATGTCTGCGAATGCGAAACTGGAATGTGCAAAATTAGAATGGAGTACATTGGAATGCAATTCAATAATGTGCTCCTTATCTCTTCTGCACAGAGATTGCGCGATAAATTTTGTGCGCTCCTAATGTTTATTTGGTGATGCGCAGGTGAAAGTGATATTGCGTTCAGATATTAAACGAGGGAACTACAATAAAGTTGCAATTATATCAGGTATATTCATCATTCAACCCTTCGTTTTCTGTATTAACTAGAAACTGATACTTAATACGTCTGCTTCCGGATAGATTTGAAAAGAAAAATCCTAACAGGAGTTGCATTATATTTATTATTGTTTTCGTTTGTCGAAGCACCACCAAAAATAATGTGAAATCAAGGTGATTGTCCTTGTATATAATTAGTCCTGTTCAACTTAAGATTAACTTGACCTCTGCGAAGCGTGCCAGTACCCTTTAAATCCCACTCGATCAAAACTGGACAGTTGTGTATCAGCAAAATCAAATTTCAAGGATTTTAGCACGCTTGTTCAGTGAATTTTATCAAGTAATTACAATATTTTAAGCATTCTTTTTGCCAATACTGGCATGTGAATGCACAGGTGGTGGAAGTGGTCATGAGCCTGCTCATGCTGGATATGTCGGTGAGGGTATGCTTACAGCCGCAATTTGTGGGGAAGTGTTTGCTTCTCCATCTGTTAACGCAATCTTAGCTGTAAGTCTCAAAAATTCTAATACTTCTATTCGTGGCGGATTTTTGTGAGCTTGTTATTTTGATTCCTCTGGTGTATGACTCTTCAATCTTTGGGCAGAGTATCTCGCCTCATATTGTCTTGACCTTCAACTGGTAACATACATTTTGGGTTCAGCCAGGGTGTACTTAACATCTAAATCATCAAATAGTCTTCATGAGATGATTATGAGCTACTCAGCCTCTGTTCTTGTGAATTGTGGAAGAATGTAAACGGACGAAATTATGCTAATTTAGCTGGGGACTTTTCTTAGATAGTATTCTTGCTTCAGCAGAGCTTTACCGATACTCTTCACGATATTGCAGGGAATTCGTGCGGTTACTGGACCTCCTGGATGTCTTCTTATTGTCAAGGTATTACTTCTTTTATTGTCTCGAAGAAGGAATATACCGATGTATATTATGCAGTACTAGTCTACTCGTTATACTATTTTCATCTTCATGGATGACAGTCTTATGTGTATGGTTGATTGTTGGGACATCGTATGCTTGCTTTTCACTACTATTACTACTACTACACTACCGGATTGTGAACAATTGCTATATGCATATTACTGGTTTGTTACGGTTACCTACAAGACTGTAGCATCTGAGTATGGGCACAACCAGCTTTTGGGTTCTGACTAGAACGTGTGATATTTGTGTGCTAGAATTACACAGGAGATCGTCTAAATTTTGGATCTGCTGCTGAGCAAGCGAAGGCAGAAGGTTTCAAAGTTGAGGTACGATTGGAAAAGCTCTGGCAACTTGTAGTATGTATGAGATACTCGTTCACTGCAATGAATTTCTTTGTGGATTGGGGTTTGATTTGATTTTTCTGAATTTAAAAAAATGTACTAGTAGTCCTGTGCACTTTTAAAAAATGTTTATTTTTGTGTTACATTCTAGTTACTTACTAGTTCAGGTTGCATTTCTTGTCGTCTGAATATGGAGGCAGATGGTCTGGTACTTATCCTGTATGCGTATGCTAGTCAAGGAGTACTATCCATTCTTTCTCTTCGCAGCTGATGTTACAAACTGCTTGTTGTCATTTTGAGTCTCGTCATCATGGTGCATTTGGTCACTTGTGGCAGGCAGTTTTCTCGAATGGCACTCCAGTTATGTGTCTCTGTGTTGCATATCCTTCGATTTCTGAATTGTTTTGAAAATAATTTCCAGTAATTAGCATAATGCTTCATCCTGTGTTCATCAAAGCAGATGGTGATTGTTGGTGACGATTGCGCCCTTCCCCCTCCTCCCCGAGGCCCAGTTGGCCGACGTGGATTGGCGGGTACATTATTTGTTCACAAGGTATAATGTCTCCATGTTATTGGTCCTATTTCTGTTTGTAAGCTTCTGTTGTCTTTCTTGTAGTCATCAACCGGTTGGTATATTACAAAGTTCATGAAACAGTTACGAAAATAGTCATGTTGCTTTTTGCAGCACGTATACAAAAGACTTTTTTATGAACAGTGTCTAAATTATTTTGACCCTCGGATTGGGTTGAAGTTGATGAAAGTTGGTTCTTTGACTCTCCCTATTGTTTCGTGTCCAGGTTAGAGCGTTAATTTGACTTGATCCGTGTGTGAATTATTTTGCTAGGTTGCCGGAGCAGCAGCTGCTGCAGGGCGTCCTCTCCCCGAAGTTGCAAAAGTAGCAAGGCGAGTTACAGAGATGGTAGGCACGATGGGAGTAGCATTGACTGTGTGTACGTTGCCAGGGCAAAATCCCTCTGATCGATTGGGGCCTGGGAAAATGGAGTTGGGTTTGGGCATTGTAAGAACATCTTCACATGTTTGGATTGGTGTGCTCTTTTTGATTTGTGCTCCACTTGCATAGCTGTTATAATCATGATGGCAGATGATAAGTAGATTCATTAGTTCCAGTCACTATCTTGGCTACGGTCATGTGGAAAACATACGGCATGGAAATCAGCTACGCTGGTGCGGTTTAACCGCTTTCCACCTGTGCACTTTCTTTGGTATGTCATTTTGAAAACTAATCTCTGTAAAAGGTCACATTTACGTTTGCAGCATGGCGAACCAGGAGCTATGGTAGCTGATTTGCAGCCTGTAGACGTCGTTGTGGCTCACATTTTGAAGCAAATTTTATCTCAGGTACGCCATTGTTTTGTCTCAATGTAGCCTGGTGAGGAGGTTCTCAGACCGAGTCTTTTGAAAATCCTCTCATACTAGTCAATCTCCCATCAGCTATATTAGTTTCAAGCTGTATTAGTTTATTCCTTTTATTGCCGTTGTAAGAGTATGACTATGCTTGTATTATTTATTGGTTTCTTATTTTGGAGTTTCTGTTACATTATTACAAAGTTTGTGATTGGAAAGCTGGAACAGTCACTCCATGTATAGCTTAATATTGGTGGTTTTCATATCATGTGGTGACAAAGGCTACGTTATTTTATGTTTGTTGCTGTCAGTGACAGCAGGTATGTGCTATCCTTGCTTATTAAGTGGGCCATTCGTTGTTTGCAGGAGACAAACTATGTACCTATTACTCCAGGGAGTCAAGTTGTACTTATGGTGAATAGGTACTTGTTCAAATGCTTAAGTAGCATACATTTATTTTGGATTCTATTCTTCCTCTTCCAGCGCTTGTGCTATTCTTTGGCTTTGATTTGTATGTCTGCTAATTATATCCTATTCTTGACCCGAGTATCTGACTGCGTTAGCATTGAGCCATTTCTTCCCGCTTTGCTGGAGTTTGCCAACTAGAAGAACTAAATAAAATTTCTTTGTTTAGTCTTGGAGCAACACCTATGATGGAGTTAATGATCGCTGCGGGGAAAGCTGTTGCACAACTGCAAATAGAGCATGGCTTAGCAGTGGAACGTGTTTACACGGGCTCCTTTATGACATCACTTGATATGGCAGGTAATTGTGTCACTTCAGGAGTTGCCCATTTTAAAGTTTTTTCTGCGAAGTGGTTAGCTGGAAACAATTGAGTTTTAGTATATATTCCAGACCAGACACTGGCGCAATCACTCTGTCTTGTAGTTACGCTGAGGCCAATTGTTCACCCTTTCCAGAAACTCTCTGGAATGTTATTGCGAAGATTCTCACTAAAGAGCTTGTTTTGAGTTGGGTATACAGGAATGTCGCTCTCTGTACTGAAGGTGGACGACTCCATCTTGGATGCACTCGACTCTGCAACTCAGGCGCCAGCGTGGCCTGTTGGAGTTGCTGGTATAGAGCAGAAACCGACTGTCACTTTATCAACCTCGTAGTGTGTAAAAAATGCAGTTATGGACGACTCATAATTATGAATGGCTTCTCTCAAGTATTAAGTTATCCTGATAGATATAAAATGAAAATTTTCTCACAGATGTATTCAAATCGTCATAAGGTGGATTTTTCCCATTTATCAAAAAGGGGTCTTCCACCAGAGGATCTCAGATTCTCAGTTTAGGGATAGCGAGTGCATAATACAATTCTTTTAGCCATTTCATTCCTCGTCATTCCAAGGTTTCTATTAATGACATTAGATAACGTAAGGTACAAATTGGACTTATCCTTTTATGTTTTTTGATGGTATTTTTAGGGCCTCGCCCATCGACAACCTTACCCGTCGCCCTTCCACCTGCACCAGCAAACCTCAATCCGGTACTTAGCTCACAGAACCTTATGTTAACTTTTGGCAGTTTCATTATAGCTGAGTTTAGTTCTTGAGGGTCATGTGCACAAGAATCTCATCTTCTGAAGCTATGTGTATAAAGTTTATGGCTTCTGTACCCTTCTTGAATTTTATCTATACGTTTATTTTTTCTTTACTGTTTTTATTTGATTCCTGATTTATTTTTCTAAGGAGACCTATTTTTTCTTCTTGCGCAGCAGAATTCGTTTAGAAACTGAAGTTCAATACCATTGATAAATGTGAAGGGTCTTAGCTGATTAATTGTCCAATTTTTGAGTTACTGGACATACGACTTTGTCGAACTTTGATTTTGTAGATTGTCTTGCGGCTTTTTCTTAGCACATGATAGTAAAATGAAGATTATTGTGCTTATCCTAACTGGTTTATTGTAATGTAAGACCTGCAGTAGGAGGTGATCGTGTCATCTAGTAATGATTCATTGTCACCTTATGATAGCCTAGAAGTCATTGATGTATCGGATGTTCGAGGGATGTGTTGACCATTTTAATCGGTTCTATCTGTACGCAATTTAAGCATGACGTCCTGTATCGGGGCATATCGGGGCATACTGGTAAACGTTGCCCTTTCTTTCTAAGCTAGTGAGATTTAATAGTCTATTGGCATTCATCTTACTCAGGTTGGAAAGTAATGACAAAGTTGTTCAAGTGTATGTCTTGAACAGGATCCAGTCCGCCCACAAGAATTAAGCGCGCAAGGTCAGAAATTGGAGGCCGCAATCAGAGCTGGTGCCACAGCAGTCCTTGGCCTCAAAGAGTCCTTGAATGAATGGGATGGAGTAGTTGGTGATGGAGATTGTGGAACAACGGTGAGATTTTCACACTTGCTCTGTATAAACTTATCTCCAACTGTTCGTCCTTTTCTGGGAAAATGTCTTTACTATTTGAAATGCTGCTCTATTATCTATTTTGTGCACGTTGGGCAGGTGACCATAGAGCGTCTTCATGTGTGAATTTCAATTTTAAATTTAAAACTTTTCATGCTCATGATGTACAATATGTATTTGTTTTAAAAATCAGTCTTGTACATTTTTGATTGACTAACTAGAAGCAACCAACCATTTCTTGTAGATGGCCAAAGCAGCAAAAGCTGTGCTTCAAGACCTAGATAGTCAGTAAGTGACTTGTGCCATGCTGTCTTTGTTATGTGTTGTGGATGACTATCAAATTACATTGTTTCTTCATTGACAAGCTCAAGGTAGTATATTTGTTGTTTCTTTGGCTAGAAGTTTTAGCTTTTAATTTTTAGTGGTGTTTTTATGGTCTAATACATTGAGGGTTTCTTAATTATCAAGAGTTCTACACATTCTGTTTCTACGTCCTATATAGAAGCTCGCTCTTCATTGCTCTCACCCCGGGGAACTTCTTGTTTATAATTTTATTCTTCAAATCTCAGCTATCCTTTGAACGATGCTGCCGCCACCGTACATGAGTTAGGCTCTTCAATAAGAAGAGTAACAGGTGGCACAAGTGGAATACTGTAAGTTATCTGTGCCATTTCTTTCTTCCACATGATATACTGGCTGTCATGACTTAACCAACTGTTGAGGCTTCAAAGTTTTCTTGCTGTGGAGCAAATAGTGCTAAGGATGCCTCTTTCTTCACCGTTCGTGATTGTAATGTGAACATTTTGGGTTCAGATACGACATATTTACCAGAGCAGCATTTGTTATTCTGAAGAATGTTGGAAACCCAGTCACGGCTAAGAAATGTGAGCTTGTCGTTATGCTTACAAATGACAGGCCTGCAACAATTTTGTACTTTTGCATCCTGGATGTATCAATCAGTTCCTCAAAGTGTTTTTTTGTTTTTTGTTTTTTGTTTCTTTTCTTTTTTCTAGATCTACTTGTGACGTTCTTTCATTTTGACATAGTAGGCTAGTTGAGGACAATTCTTTTATGACTCTAGCCTCATGATGTTATGAATGGATTCATCAAAAGAGAGCGAAAGGCACGTAATCGTAGAATGTACAATAGCGTTGCACTAACAATCATGAGTATTGTGTTGAGATTCTTTTGCAGGGTCTGCAGCTTTTGAGGCAGCAGTTGCTGCTGTAGGAAAGTATGGTGGTGCTTCGGCTGGTCATCGTACTCTTTTGGATGCCCTTTTGCCTGCCTCAACCACCCTCCAAGAGGTAAGAGCGATCTTTGAGAAGAATTATGAAAGAACTAAGTAGGTTATCATCCCGGTGTTCTAGTAACATTTGCATCAGAGTCACGAGTGTATTTATTTTTGGAAGTTAAAATTCATCACAAATATACACCGAATTCGTGCAGAAATTGGCTGCTGGAGAGGATCCGTTGAAGGCATTCAACGCTGCTGCTGATGCTGCGGTAGCAGGTGCAGCAGCTACAAAGTCCATGCTAGCACAGGTGATTTACGACTAGCTATTGAACCTATTTTTGGTGTCGACCTACTTCCTATCTCAGTTTGAATTCAAGATATAAACCAATTTCATAAAGATCATGAACATGCAATGGGTTTGTGTATCCAGGCATTCGACAGTTTCTAAGTTTATGCCTACTGTTTTGCAGAGTGGTCGTTCGAGTTACGTTCCTGAGTATGTCCTTGCGAAAGTTCCAGATCCTGGCGCCATGGCAGCCGCAGAGTGGCTACGCGCAGCTGCCCAGGCTCTATCCTCTTCCCCCTAGCGATCCGACTTCCCATTTGGTCATGGAGATTGGATACCATGTTCCTCCTTTCTTTCATTGGTCTACAGAAATTCATCTAGCCGTTTACCATGATTCAACATCCTGGATGACCATTCTAGAGAAACGTCTTCATGTTTTGAGATGAGTATGCTACTGAAATATCTGGCTTTGACCAGGTTTTGACCTGTGAGAACAACATTCATGATAAAGCTCAAGCGAAGAGGTGGTTTAGATTGTCGCCCTTCCTAAAAACATAAGGCAATTTATTTTCTAAGTTCTTGTAATGGCATGTAGCTTCTGTGATCTAATAATATGTTATTACAGCTGAAGCTACTGCTGCCTGGTTCCCGCTGAGTCCTTGCAAGCTGGAGGCTCTTTGGGAGTTCCTTAGTTTGTTTTCCCCCGCGCAATCGTCTTGGACAACTATTCCACTCGTGGAATGTTGAAAGGATGGTGTAAATTTTGAGGCCTCTAATGACATTTGAGGTGATCCCTTTCTATGTCCAATGCCACCCTTTCGTTGTTGGCAGCCTGATGTAATTTCCATCAGCAATCATTTGTCGGCTTTCACTCAATTTTGTGTCTTCTGCAAAGATTTGTACTGTAGTTGGCTTTCGGTATCGTCCCACACTGTCAGGACTGTCATTAGGACACAATAACTTTGTTACGGTAATATGCTCTGCTCTGCCTTGGTAGAAGTTCGTTGCTCTGTATGCTCTGCTCTGCATGGCTGATGTTGCTGAAATTATCTTCTATTTCAGGAGGTCAAAGCATCAAGTAATTGGTTGATTGTTTAACAGTTGGTTACAGTTCATTCATTTCTTTCCCAGGTTATGTTTCAACCCACAATATAAATGTATGTGTGTGCACAAATATATATATATATATATATACATACATATATCAAATATTAAATAATGTAGAACTTTTAGTGGAATTTAAAGTACATATACTAAGAAAGTAAAAAGAATTATGATCATTCTAGAAACTATTGTAATATTTATTTTAAACTAACCGTATTCTACAATGTTTGAAGCAATTACATGAATATTATCCTAAGTGTAGTAACACTTACATTAGAAACAAACTTTATAATATGTTGCATCTTTTTGGTGTTATTACCATTAAGATATCTTCCCACCCACCACAATCATGACAAATATAGTCTTAATCTATCATATCATAGTAAGAAGTTTCACTTACACTTAAAAACACAAATAAATAAAAATTGTTGATTACTAGCTTGCAATAAAACATATTTGATTCATTGCCAACTCCAACTTGCTAACCCACACCAATTAGCCATTATTTGTATGGCTAAATAATTATAGATTCAATTTGTTAATTAGAATTTATAGTTTATACATTATCAATAGTTATACTTGATTGAATCACCAAAACAAAACATGCCAAAATTTTAAGAGAAATGATAATTAAATTTTAAAATTCATTAAAAGCATGAAATTATTAAAATTAATAAAAAATTAATTCAAATGATATAGAGATTATATAAATACACAAGAGGGAAGTTTTATTGTGTGTAATATTACATTGTTTTTGAAAAGATAGAAAATCATAAAAGAAAATAAATATTAATATGTCATATATTATTTTAGCTTGATGCACTTCTAAAATATGTATAATCATATTGTGTTCTAATTGAAATAAAAAACAATGATTTATAAACATTTTATTTAGAACAATATGTATAATGTTGTCATTGATGTGATCACTGGACTGTCTAAATGGTTGTTTTAAAAGATCCATATATGGAATCTTGTATCCAATTAGCCTAATTATTATCAAGTTGTTATGGCTTATGTTTGTTTCAAATTCATCTAATTCTATAAGTTTGATGCCGCCATGAATCTATAGCATGAATCAATAAGACATATTAAACATAAAATCTTTACTTAAGTATTTCTGTATAATTAGAATTATAGAATAAAAATAATATTACAATAAAATTTAATATTTTTACATTAATCTATTTTATTTTTTCTTAAATCAACTATGATAAATATAAAATTTATTTTTACTGTAATTTAACTTTATCATTAAAATTTGTGGTTGAAAAGTCCAAATTAGATGAATATTAATCTTACATAAAAAATATAAATTAAATGTTAAAATATTTAGATTCATGGTAATATTTTATGAAGCCTCTCTAGTTTTAGTTTGCATATTATAAATCAATTATTTTAAAAAATAACCTCTATATATTAGACTTAAAATCCTAAATAGTGGGCACATTAATATAAGATGCTAAGATGTTTATTGTATTTAAATAACTTACTTAAGTACAAATTTATTTAAAATATTTGAAGAAGAATTTGAATTAATCAAACATGAAAATTACTGGTGTGTTATCCATAAAGTCTAAGACCTTCATATTGTTATTTGCAATAGAAAATAATACCAACTCTAAGTTTTTTGGATTTAAGTTTTAAAGGTTTAAGATTACATAGATGTACTAGATTATTTTGATATATTCTTTTTGAAGACTTAAAAATATATGCGATTTTTTTTGAGGTTTGTAATTCTAAATATGAAATTAGAATGGTCTACAAGTCCTTAAATTTGCAAATATATGAGGTTTGGCTTTTGGATTTTAAAAATATCTCAAAACAAAGTAAGTTTTTGAGGGAGAATTTTGAGATGACATATTTTTTCATTTTTAGAGATACAAGATAGCAAAGGCATGTACAATAAGGATAATATGCATTCATTGTGGTAACCATTGAGTATTGCTAACTTGAGTTTATTTTAAAACTCTAATCCTACAAATAAGCTTAATAAGTTGAATCTATTTGGAAATATATAGAATTGTTGGTGGTATTATAATATACTGCAATTGGAGATAATAGTTGAAATTAAAGATATACCTATTAGAACTTCTATATCTTCTAAATAAGTTTAGGGATATATAGATATATATATATATATATATATACTATAAAATCTCACAAAATTTCATTGTAGTTGAAAAAAATTTCAATATGACAATGATAACAAGTTGGTATAGACTAAAGACACCTTGCATGTGCCTTACTAATATACATTTTATTTTTTTGGTTTAGTATATGTCTAAATGAAGTCTACATGCTTATGGAATATTTTTTTAAAAACTTATTATAAGATTCAAGAGACTATGGTCTTTGTAATAAATATGAAGTTTAGAAATCATATTTGAATTTTATTTATTTATTTTTTACCAAAGTTAACTTTTATAAACTATATTTCAATTTAAATAGTTGTATTAAAATCTCTGAGATTCCAAATTATTCAGTAAATTTTAATATATATGATAAAAATAGTTAAATTTTAAACTAATAGTTATGAATCTAAATAATAGAAATACAACATATATGAGATATTAAACTATTAATTTAAAACCAATATCTTAAGTTAGGATAGAAATCATAGAAAGAAAAAGAAAAAGAAAAAATACCAACATAATTTATATTTAAACACATACTAATATAGCATGGAATAATGCAAAAGAATAACATATCATATATGATTTAGAATATAATTATTATTGCATAAAAATATCTTATGAAGATCTATCTTATTTCTTTTAATATAATTAGATATGTAAATGTACTTAAAAATGCTTCTAAAGCATAACATTTTGATATATCTATTTTATATGCTTCCAATATCTTCATCAATGATTTTAATTAGAAGAAATTTTAATCACTCAAATAAAACTAAAGCTCTAAATCTACTTTGAAATTCCTTTAAAGTCATTATTCTTTATCTATCTGGGTTCTTCAAATGTGTTATGCATTCAACTTTTATGGACAAATTCTTTAATCTCCAATAACCAAAGAATTTTAAAAACTTATATATAATCTACTTAAAAACTATTTTGAACACTCTTATCACTAAATCTATAATGAAGCCTTACTTGATAAAAACTCTAAATCTAATATAAAACTTCAACAATCTTCAAATAATAAGTATGCAATATTTCTATAAAAAATTAGATTCACTATTCTAATTCTAAACCTTTCAAATACAGCAAATTTATAAATCTATTTGAAAACTCCTTCAAAGCCTCACATTTTTACATCCTTAGTTTTCTCAAACATATCAAGCTTTCAAATCCTTCTAACAACTTCTTCAATTTTCTACACTTTAAGAAATTCAATTCTTCCAATACAATAAAATTTAGCAATCCATTTGGAAATTCTTTCAAAGCCTCATATTCCCACATTTGTAGTATCTTCAAACATGTCAAGCTTCCAAACCTTTCTGACAACTTCTTCAACTTTCTACATCTGAAGAAATTGAATTCTTTTAATGCAATGAAATTTGGAAATCTAGTTGGAAACTCCTCCAAAGTCTCTTATTCCTCCATAAATAGTTTCTTCAAACATATCAAGCTTCTAAATCCTTCTGGCAACTTTTTCAATTTTCTACACTTTGAAAATTTCAATTCTTCTAGTGCAACAAAATTTGGCAATCCACTTGGAAACTCCTCCAAAGCCTCACATTCCCACATCCTTAATATCTTTAAATGTATCAAGCTTCCAAATCCTTTTTGCAACTTCTTCAATTTTCTACATCTTAAGAAATTGATTTCTTTTAATGTAACTAAATTTGGTAATCCACTTAAAAACTCCTCCAAAGCCTCACATTCCCACATTTGTAGTATCTTCAAACATTTTAAGCTTCCAAATCCTTGGGACAACTTTTTCAAATTTCTATATTTTAAAAAATTCAATTCTTCTAATACAACCAAATTTGGCAATCTACTTGGAAACTCCTCCAAAGCCTCATATTTTCACATCCTTAGTATCTTCAAATATGTCAAGCTTCCAAATCCTTCTAATAATTTCTTCAATTTTCTATACTTTAAAAAATCCAATTCCTCCAATGCAATCAAATTTGACAATCTACTTGAAAACTCCTCCAAAGCCTCACATTCTTCCATAAATAGTTTCTTTAAACATGTCAAGCTTTCAAATCCTTTTGAAAAATTCTTCAATTTTTTAGATCTTGAAAAATTTAATTCTTCTTATGCAACCAAATTTGGCAATCTACTTAGAAATTCCTCCAAAGCCTCACATGCCCACATCCTTAGTATCTTTAAATGTGTCAAACTTCTTAATCCTTATCACAACTTCTTTAATTTTTTACATCTGAAGAAATTGAATTCTTCTAATGCAACGAAATTTGGCAATCTAGTTGAAAACTCCTCCAAAGTCTCACATAAATAGTTTCTTCAAACATATCAAGCTTCCAAATCCTTCTGGCAACTTTTTCAATTTTCTATACTTTGAAAAATTCAATTCTTCTAATGCAACAAAATTTGGCAATCCACTTAGAAATTCTTCCAAAGTATCATATTCCCACATCTTTAATATCTTTAAATGTATCATGCTTCTAAATCCTTTTGACAACTTCTTCAATTTTCTATACTTTGAGAAATCCAATTCCTTCAATGCAATCTAATTTGGCAATCCAAGTCGAAACTTCTTCAAAGCTCCACATTCCAACATGTATAGTTTCTTCAAACATATTAAGCTTCCAAACCCTTTTGGCAACTTCTTCAATTTTTTATATT